ACAGTTAATCATGAAGCTTAGAAGAATTTATCCACTATCGGTCAGGGCAACAAGACTTTCCATCAAGTTTAGGTTATGTGTTTTTTGAATTAGGTGTAATTGTTAGGCATTTTTTGGCTTTGCGATAACCGTACATTTTAATCAAACTTGTACATGTATGTGTGTGCTCAGTCATATCTGACTCTTTGCAACCCCATGGACTGTAGCCCACCAGGCTCCTCTGTCCATGGAATTTTCTAGGCAAGAATACTGGAGTGGGTTGCCATTTCCTTCTCCACAAACTCATATAATTTATCTTCAAATAGTTTTTTAATAGAAGAAATGAGAATGACAATGTAAAAAGCACAGAACCATGTTCTGACTGAACTACCAGATCTAGACCTATAAATAGTGACAACATTGGGAAAAATATTTCTTTTAATCAATAAATTTTAAATTTGAGCTAATCTAAAAAACTCAAGCCTTTTAAATAAAGATTAAGTATAGCTTGTCAAATACTCAAAACCATTGAAAATTTATTATTTGCAATATTTTTGCAAATGAAAACTAAAAATTGTATACACACACAAACTTATAAACACAAACTTGTTTGTAAGATCCTCAAATATTTTCAAAGAAAGAAAAAAAGACAAATTCATCAGCTCTAGTTCAGGTCAGTTAATGAAAAAGTGTTAGTATCATATTTAGTTACACATGTGTGGCAGGAGAAAATTATTCACAAAGTTCCTGAAAAATCTATTCCTGGCATAAATAGGTTACGCCTCTTTAGAGAAATGGATAAATAATTTATGATGTATGTATTCATAAAGCAGCAAAGTATATAGCCTTTAAGAATAATGTGGAAGAAAAAAAGAATAATTTGAGAGGAATATTGAATGACATGAAAAGCAGTTTCTACTGTATAGAAATAGAAGGCTATAAAATGCTATGTACTTCTTTGCACTAAATGACCCCAGTTTTATTATTTAAATATTTGATATAGATGCATGTATAAGTTTTAAAATACATACATACATATATAAATGGAAAATAAACAAATTACTAAGTCTTTTTCTCTGATGGTGTTATAGGTGAGTTTATTTTTTCCTTGAACATTTTTTTTTTATGATTACAAATTATTTTTTAAGTGGTGAGAAAATGAAATAAAAGTAGAATAGATTCTTGATGATAAATCAGCTGAGAAATTAAAAATATACCTCTCCGTGATAACACATTCTCTTAAACACACTTGTGGTTCTAAGAGTCACTCAGTCGTGTCCAACTCTTTGTGACCCCAAGGACAGCAGCCTGCCAGGCTCCTCTGCCCATGGGATTCTCCGGGCAAGAATGCTGGAGTGGGTTACCATTTTCTTCTCCGTGTGGTTCTATAGAACACACAGAATACTTATTAGGCAGATGTGAGCAGACACAGGTTCTGTGATTCTACTTAATGAGAGCGCTAATATTTCTATTTTATTTAACAATAGCTATTGTTTTAGAAGCAACACATTTGTTTCAGTTTTTTAATCTAGCTATTCACATACCTATATGTCTACTGGGTGAATGCAAAGGACGTTTTCTAGTGTGAGCTGACATTTTTTTAAAAAGGGTCTTTTAACTATTCTACTCTCACTTCCTTCACAGACAACATTTTGAGTGGATTGTTTAGACATATGTTTCTACCTGCTCTTAATCCACTACAACCAGGCCTCCCCCATGATTCCTCTGGGGCAAGTCTTCTGATTAAACTCCCACATCCATCGAATCCTTGGTTGTGTTTATCTTGTTGCTTGGATGCTTTTATTTCATTTTCCCACCACTTAAAAAATAATTTGTGATTATAAAAATAAAAGTGTTAAAGGAAAAAATACACTCACCTATAACCCCATCAGAGATAAACACTTTGAATAGTTTATGTTTATTTTCCATTTATATATGTATGTATGAATTTTAAAACTTATACATGCATCAAATATTTCAATAATAAAACTGGGCTCATTTAGTGCAAAGAAGTACATAGCATTTTACAACCTTCTATTTCTATACGGTAAAAACTGCTTTTCAAGTCATTCAGTATTCCTTTCTCGAATTATTTTTTCTCCCATATTATTCTTAAAGGCTATATACTTTTTGCTGCTTTATGACTGCATACATCATAAATTATTTATCCATTTCTCGATTGCTTAGTTTTCAGTTTTTAAAAGTAACTGAATGACATACCAAAATCCTTTTTTAAAAAAACAAACAAACAAAAACCTTTATTCACTTCCCTAATCACTTGCTTAGGATGAATTCCTAAAAGTGGGATTTCTGGGCTGGAGCCATCTCTCTGCTATGTCCAGAACCCCTCCAGGAATGGGTACCAAGGCCCCTTCCATCAGCACCCATAACATGAGAGGACCTCATTGGCCAGCTCCTTACTAACACCAGGCAACTGTATGTAATTTTATTAAAACAAAAATTACCTTTTATTTAAAGGTCAGTGCTCGCTTGAATAGTAAGTCATTTGCATTTATTCCTCTGTGAACTGACTTCATGTTATCACCTATTGTTTTAAAGTGTGCATCTGTTTTTTTTTTTTAATACTTTGTAAAAGCTTTTATTGTTGTTGTTTAGTTACTGCATCGAGTCTGACTCTTTTGCAACTCCATGGATTGTAGCCTGCCAGGTTCCTCTGTCCATGGGATTTCCCAGGCAAGAATACTAGAGTGGGTTGCCATTTCCTTTTGCAGGGGATCTTCCCCACTCAGACATTGAACCCGAATCTCATGTGTCTCCTGCATTGGCAGGCAGATTCTTTACCACTGAGATCACCTGGGAAGCTCCAAAAGCTTTTATACAAAGGTATTTAAAATCATCTTATCTCTGAAATATTATTTTCCTAATGTATAATTGAGTTTGTTTTTAATTATAAAAATAATGAATAATCTTATAAAAGTAAAAAACATAACCACATAAAATTAAAAGATGTTACTCTCTTTTCTCTTCAGTCTGCTCCTCAGAGTGTCATTTGCTTTTTATTCTTTGTGTGGACCTTTTAACATAAAGCTTCTACATATTGAAATAGTCAAATCTGTTTACCTTTCCCTTTTGCCAGTTTCTTCCTTAGCTGCTCTATTAAAAATAATTTGAATGCATTAAGATAAGTATATTCACTTACATTTTCTTCTAAACCTTTTATGGATCAGTTCTTAAACTTAACTCCTTAACACATTTGTAATCTACTTTTCTATATGGTATAAAACTGTGATATATGCACATATGTGTGTGTATAGTATATATATACTATTTCCAAATAGTTAAAAAATGTAGTTTTACATAATTATATTGACTACAATGTTTTTAAATTTTTTCTTAGCACTGGAAACCTTTCTTCAAATAATGGCATTATGAGGTGGGTGGATGAGTGGAGGGTCCCTAGGGGTCTAGGACTTCGCAAACTTTGCCTCCTCACTACCAAATGGACTTAAGGAGCAGTCTGAACACCTCCCTGCATCCGTTGGACACCCTCCAGTGACACTTGCTTTCCTCGCTGCCCTCCTGAACCACAGGTTTCTAACTATGCCCTTTCAGTCTCCTTTGTGGGCACATGCTCCTCTGTCCATCATGAGGGTAAGAGGTCCCTCAGCTCCCTTCTGGCATTGTGCTCTTCCCATTTTACCGACTCCCTCCCAGTAACCTTTGTCAAATCCGAGGCATCAACAATTCTCCCTACTGGGTGGCTTCGAATTCTCTTTTCTATCACGGAGTCCTATCCTTAGTTCCTACCCATAAATAAAACACCCTATGAGTGAAAGAAAGTCACTCAGTCATGTCTGACTCTTTGTGATTCCACGGACTATACATGGAATTCTCCAGGCCAGAATGCTGGAGTGGGTAGCCTTTCCCTTCTCCAGGGGGAACGTCCCAACTCAGGGATGGAACCCAGGTCTCCCGCATTGCAGGTGGATTCTTTATCAGCTGAGCCACAAAGGAGGCCCCAGACACCCTATGGACATCCTAATTGCCATTTCAAACTGAACTCGTTCGTAACTGAACTCATATACTCCCTGGATTCCAAACCTTTCTCTTCCTTTCTCCTCTAACTTACAGGATGGGACCATTACCCTCCCATTTTCCCAAATAAGAAACCTGGAAGTCATCCCTTATATTACCATCCCAATCAGCCAGTAAATCCTACTGCTTCAATTCAAAGAATCTCTTGCCATATTTTCCTTTATTCCTTTCCATCTACCCTGGGCTTAACTTATTTCTAGATCACTGAAGAATCTTCTGACTTTTTTCCCAGCTGCCAGTCTACTCCTCTGCAATTTAACTTCCTCAGTACCACTACAGCCGAATTTCTAAAGAAAAACAAAAACGCCCAGAATCCTGAGTTCCCAATCACAGCTTCCACAAGGGTGGGAGGCGGGGGAGACTCCGAATAAGACTCCTGCTTTCCCCTCCCCTTTTCCTCCAACATCCTTTCCAGAGCCTCCACCAGTAAAGGACTTGAAGTGACTGAAGCACTCTCCTAAGATCTGAGACTCTGCCTCAGGCTGCCTCCCCCCATTCGGCAGCCCTCGTCCGCTCCCGAGTTCTGCCCGAAGGTTCTTCACTGCCAAAGCTTTCTCTGCCCACCCTCTCCCACCCCACACCTAAGCTGGACAGCTCTGTGCTGCGCGGTCCCCGCGGTCCCCGCGCACCACCGCCCCACCCTTTTTATTTTCTTCAAAGGATAACAATTCAGGTCAACAGAGGGTTGGAAAGGGGAGGAAGAGACATTTTTAAAAAGGGTTTTGGATTCAAGAGTCCAAATTTTGTTGGTTTGGGAAGTACCTTAACCTCTCTGGGCCTGGTTCCCTCCTGTTATAACGGGGTGTTAATCCTACCATCACACACACACACACACACACACACACACACACACACACACACACTNCAGGCGCCCAGGGCCGGGCTGCGGTGGCGGCGGCGTCCCCCCCGGGCCTCGCGCGCGCGCTCCCCTAGCTGTCGGCGGCTGGCCCGCGGCAGAGGTCAAGATGGAAGAGATCCTAAGGAAGCTGCAGAAGGAGGCGTCCGGGAGCAAGTACAAAGCCATCAAAGAGAGCTGCACCTGGGCCCTGGGTAAGCGCGCCGAGCGGGGCGCCCGGCACCTGCCGGCGGGGCCGGTTCGCCGCCTCCGGAGGGCCGCGCCGGGGAGGGCTGTGATGGCCCTTGTGCAGGGTGGGGAGGGGAAGCTGAGCAGCTATGACCGATGCTTTTTCGCGCAATTGCGAGAGTTGCCTCGGAGAACTGATGGGTGATGTGCGAATTTGGATTCGGGCGTGTACATCCATCCGCCTACCTTCTGGTCTTTATCTTCTCCTAAACCTTAATGGGGAACGGCCGTGTCCCCTCCTGGCGGCCCCTTTCTTCAGGTCCCCTGCACGGCGGAAGACGATCACCCATCTCCGAGTTCGGATCACAAGCCGGTGGGAAAACACCGGCCTGATTCCAAAACGCCTGTGGGCTAGAGGGAAGTTGAACCGTCAGCCGCGGTCTCAAGTACCTTGGCCAGTGTTACCGGGAAGGAACAGCTTATTTGATTTGCCTGATAGAGGCCAGCTTGTTAAGTATTAGCTTTCATGGTTATTGTAAATGAAAAATAACACACAGGTGGGATGGTGTTACCTCTGCAATTCTATTGTTGTCTGCCCTTCAGGCAGATTTGATTTTAGATTTGTGAACTCTGCAAGCACTGAAATAAGTTCCAGGTAGCAAATTTGTGTTTCTTGTCAGACTTGGATTGTCGAAGTCAACCTTGGAGAAAACGGCAAGACATTCCAATTAGGCAAGAATGTGGGCAATCAAAATGGTCTGAATGGGAATTCAGGGGGTTCAGGAGCATACTTGGGGTAATAGTGATGCTTGAGGAGGGAGAAAAGGAAAGGCCAAGAAGAAATCAGGGCAGATCTGTGGGCCCCTGGCCTTCCCCAAGCCTGCATGTGATTCCTCAGTTGCCACCCAGTCAAAACAGAAAATTGAATCCCTTTCTCCATAAACCAAAAAGCCATCAGTGTTCGTCACGACACTCTGCTGTGGCACAGCCTGGGAAGGGCTGTTAGCAGGTTTTCTACTAAATGGAGAATTCTGTTGGTGCCCTACGTATCTCCGTTAATATTTAGAAGATCTGAATTCACATATGTTTGAGTGTGTGTGCACAGACCATCGCTCTTTTTTTTTTTAACCTCTGTCTGTCATCACAAAATTTTCTAGAATGTTGTCTAGGAAGTTTATCTTGTAGGCAGAATCAGAACTTGACCATTTGTTTACCGTTGGAGGGGCGGGTGGGTTGTGGAATGGACCAGATAGATAAGTGAGCAGCAAGGCTCTTAAAGCCACAGTACTGTTTTTGCATTGCCATTGTCATTCAGTCAGGTGATGGGGTAGATTCTCAAAGACTTCAAATGAAGGGTTACAGATGTCCGGGTGACATAATCTAGCGGGTCCTGACTGCACTCTAGACTGCACTCTTGCGTGTACTTGTTATGATTTTGCTGTAAGTTAAGCAGATTTAGATAACATGGGGGAGGTGAGGAATGTAGCATCTTTAATGTTTGGATTTTGATACTCTGCATCTTGTTAAGTTAAAGTGCAATGTTACCTAGTTTAGGTCCTTGAAGAAAAAGCCAGGAGCTGAGGCAGCTAGATAATGTGAGCAGAGCCTTGAGTTCAGCCTGATGGGAAGAGTAAATGGGATTCTTTTCCCAGAGGCTGTTCTCAGCAAGAGATGGGAGTGCATGAAAGAGTTAACTATCAGTGGTTGGATGGAGTAAGCCAGGAAAACCATCAAAGAAGAGGGAGTGAATGTGGGGTCAGGGGTGGGGGGTAGGGGGACTGGTTTGAGTTGGTGGGCTTTTGAAGTCAACTGGACTTGAAGAATGGGTAAGCCGTGGGTTTCTGCTTTTCTTTGCTTGTATAGCAAAGATTTATTAAGACCTCCTCTGTACTGAGCGGTGGGGAGAGAAAAATGAATAAAATGCTTCCTCCCTGTAATTAGCTTGTTAGGAGGGTATGTTGGAGGGAGAATCCTGCAGAAACAGACATGAAGGTATGGCTTCCTGTTCTTCTTTCCCACTCCAGTCCATTTTCCACTGTTCCATCTTTTTTTTTGGCTATAAAATACTTTTCACTCCTCAATCCCCATACTGTCTTTTTAAAGTGTGAATTCCTTAGAATGCTCTTTGGAATCCAGCCCCAGCCTTCTTTCCTGGCGCCCTCACAGCAGGGGTTCATCGGTCCCCAGTAAGCCATATACTTTCTTATACACGCTGTGTGCTGCATGTTCTTCTGCCTGGGCAAATGCTAGTCCTTCTGCCACGGCTTACCTTCCCAGACTCCCAAGGCTCAGCTCACATTCGAAGGCTGCCCTGAGCTCTACAAGTGAATAGGTTGCTCCTCTAGGCTCTTAGCTCTGTGTTTAGGATCCTCTTAGGGCACCTGCTCTTGGCGATTATACTTGGTTTGCCCACAGCTACTGTTTTTGGGGCCAGATAATTGAGAAATATATTGGATTCAGGAGACAAAAAGAAAAAATTCAAGCAGACTTAAAGCAAAATAGAATGTTTTCACTCTATGAACTAAACAGCCCTTGGAAGGCTAGCTGTGGGTTGAGTTTGGTTCAGGGATTAGGTACTGTTAAAAGGATCTTACTCTGCTCTTTTGGGATGACAAACACACTCAACATGAATCTCCAAAGCTTTGAGTTCATCAATCAGCACACTTAGACCATCTCAGGAAAGAGGGCTCGTCCCCCACTTAGACCATCATGGGAGAAAGGGGTCGTTTCCGTACTTAGAGCATCTCAAGAGAAAGTAGTCATCTTACACTTGGGCCATTATAAGCGAGAGGGATCACCAGGACATTTAGACCACCCCAGGAGAGAGTCATTCTTATGAAAGCTACAGCGGGAGAGGGGGGTCATCTTCACGCTTAGTCCATATCAGAAGAAAGAGGTCATCTCCCGCTTGGACTGTTATAGGAGAAAGACATTTAGATCATACCAGGGGAGAGGAGTCATCTCCCACTAAAACTCGTTAGGAGAGAGAGAGCGCATCTCCACATTTAGGCCATTACAGGAGAAGGGGGTCATGTCCCACTTGGCCAATCATGGGCTCGTCCGAAGGGAGTGGAGCTCTGGCAGTCACTCCTGCCCAGTCCTTGGCGTTGATGGGTTGAGTGTGTATCCCTGAGCCAGTCCTCTAGCTAAGGAATGAAACAGGCCAGCTGCTACAAGGCCCACTGAAACCCGAGTCAGCCAAAGATGGCTTCCTCAAAACAAAATTAGGGTTTGCAACTTGAGAGGCAGGTGAGTGGATGGTGGTGCCAGAGCAACACATGTCCGCAGTGTAGACGTGAGCTTCCTTAGCATAGGGACTATCACTTAGCCTTGTTGGTGGCTTCTGCACCTACAATATGAGACACATGTTCATTACGTAAATAAATCAACATGTTACTGACTTGCTTGGGTTTTAAGTGATCTTAATCTTTTTTTCTAGTTACAGAAGTTATATATGCTCATTTTAGAATACTGAAAAATGGTCAAACACTATAAAGAAAATAATCTCATCACCCATACGATCACTAATCATATTTTGGAGTATTTCCATCCTGCAAAGGCTTTTTTTTTTTTTTACCACGTATAGTGGATTGTTAGTTATTTTTTGTTTTAACTTCAGCATTTTCTGAAAATTGGTTTCTGAAAATCAGTTTTCTTAATGGCTGCATAATAACTGGCAAGGAATATGTATGTGTTTTTTCTCTATTTTGAGCTATCCAGGTTATATACTTTTCTTGCCAGTGAGGAAGTGGTCTGACGAAGGAATAGAGAAAGAAAAAGGGACTGGGCCACTGTGTGGAGGGCCTGAGAGAAGATTCTCCTTCAAGGACTGGCAGTCCTGGAGGTGTGGGAGCTGGGGATGGCAGGATGGAATAGAAGGGCAGATCATTAGAACTGGATCATGCGTCTTTTAGAAACTTTGAGTGTTTTGCATATACCAGGGGCTCCTGTTGAATTGATTTAGGAAATGGAGAAGAGAAAGAAAATTAGAAGTTGGAACACCAAGTTAAGGAAGAAGGATGGTCTGTGTAGCCATCCTGCTTTTGTCTCTTTCCATCCACTTTTCCTTCCAACCTCAGGTTCTGCTACCTTCACAGCCAAACCGCTTAAAACGTGGGTGTAGTGTTTGAGTCCACATCCTCACTTCCTGCTCACTCTTCAACTCACTCCAGGCTTTTTCCTCCGTCCTTCCACCTATTGAAGAATAAGGTACTCAGACCTCAGAGTGCAGAAGACCGTTCTCACATCCCTCTTACAGGTTCTCTTGGCCACTCTGGGCATCTGCTTGACCTTGGCCTCGTGCCCTCACCTGCCGGTTTTGATCCTGCCTCTCGAGTTTTTCTGTCTCCTTTGCAGTTTCAGCTCCCATAGTGGGTGCCTGCTTAGTTGTGGCCAACTCTTTGCAACCCCGTGGACTGTAGCTTGCCAGGCACCTCTATCCATGGAACGTCCCAGGCAAGAATACTGGAGTGGGTTGCCGTTTCCTTCTCCAGAGGATCTTCCCAACCCAGGGATTGAACCCGCATCTCCTGTGGCTTCTGCATTGGCGGGCAGATTCTTTATCACTGAGCCACCTGGGAAGCTTCAGCTCCTCCCCAGCCTAAAAGATTGTGTTTCACAAGAATTAGCCATGAACCCGCTTCTCTTAATTCCCAGCCCGCCTGGAAGTGAACACTTTCAGAGCTGCAACGTCAGTTCAGTTTCTGAGAATGCAATACCCACATTTAGATCCTTGGGCTTCCCCTTGCTCTGCCACCAGCCCCCTTCTTCCTCCAATGCAACTTCCTACCCGCTTCCCTTCTGCGATGGCGTGGGCTCATTATGGCTGCTCTGTGACTTTCTCTTTTCCCTTTCCTCTGACTCTCTGCTAGCACTTGTAGGCTTGGGCACTGTTGCACAGCTTGAGTTAAATATAAACTCCTCTGTCTGATGAGGAAAACTGCAGCGGTTTGGTCGTTTGCTGTCAGACCCTCTTCTTGGGAAGCAGCATCAAGTTATGCTGGATATTGGCTGTGCCCAGAAGGAATAGAGAAAGAAAAAGGGACTGGGCCACTGTGTGGAGGGCCTGAGAGAAGATTCTCCTTCAAGGACTGGCAGTCCTGGAGGTGTGGGAGCTGGGGATGGCAGGATGGAATAGAAGGGCAGATCATTAGAACTGGATCATGCGTCTTTTAGAAACTTTGAGTGTTTTGCATATACCAGGGGCTCCTGTTGAATTGATTTAGGAAATGGAGAAGAGAAAGAAAATTAGAAGTTGGAACACCAAGTTAAGGAAGAAGGATGGTCTGTGTAACCATCCTGCTTTTGTCTCTTTCCATCCACTTTTCCTTCCAACCTCAGGTTCTGCTACCTTCACAGCCAAACCACTTAAAACGTGGGTGTAGTGTTTGAGTCCACATCCTCACTTCCTGCTCACTCTTCAACTCACTCCAGGCTTTTTCCTCTGTCCTTCCACCTATTGAAGAATAAGGTACTCAGACCTCAGAGTGTAGAAGACCGTTCTCACATCCCTCTTACAGGTTCTCTTGGCCACTCTGGGCATCTGCTTGACCTTGGCCTCGTGCCCTCACCTGCCGGTTTTGATCCTGCCTCTCGAGTTTTTCTGTCTCCTTTGCAGTTTCAGCTCCCATAGTGGGTGCCTGCTTAGTTGTGGCCAACTCTTTGCAACCCCGTGGACTGTAGCTTGCCAGGCACCTCTATCCATGGAACGTCCCAGGCAAGAATACTGGAGTGGGTTGCCGTTTCCTTCTCCAGAGGATCTTCCCAACCCAGGGATTGAACCCGCATCTCCTGTGGCTTCTGCATTGGCGGGCAGATTCTTTATCACTGAGCCACCTGGGAAGCTTCAGCTCCTCCCCAGCCTAAAAGATTGTGTTTCACAAGAATTAGCCATGAACCCGCTTCTCTTAATTCCCAGCCCGCCTGGAAGTGAACACTTTCAGAGCTGCAACTTCAGTTCAGTTTCTGAGAATGCAATACCCACATTTAGATCCTTGGGCTTCCCCTTGCTCTGCCACCAGCCCCCTTCTTCCTCCAATGCAGCTTCCTACCCGCTTCCCTTCTGCGATGGCGTGGGCTCATTATGGCTGCTCTGTGACTTTCTCTTTTCCCTTTCCTCTGACTCTCTGCTAGCACTTGCAGGGTTGGGCACTGTTGCACAGCTTGAGTTAAATATAAACTCCTCTGTCTGATGAGGAAAACTGCAGCGGTTTGGTCGTTTGCTGTCAGACCCTCTTCTTGGGAAGCAGCATCAAGTTATGCTGGATATTGGCTGTGCCCTGCCGACTGCTGGGCCAGACTCACCTGCCTGGCCTTGGAGCTGCTCCCGTCCCTGCATCTCAGGGCTTTGTTTTATGATCCTGTCTCATCTCGGGAACTGACCTCAGTCCTTCTACTTCCTCCCTTGCCTTGTGGCTCCTGCACCACTGACTTGTCCAACCATCTTTCGGTTTCACTCGCTTCCCCAAACCTGCTGCTGTGCCCCATGGACCACAGCAGTCCCAGATCCTATCATCATGGTTTCTGTTCTTACTCCAGAGTCTCAGGAATACATTTGATGCCCACTGTTCCCTTTGATCTCTTAGCCGTGTGGGAAGGGATGCTCTCCTTCCCCGGTAAAAGGAATTTAGACTGACAGGGCTTGTTGACTCTAAAACAGTGAAGAGAGGAGGCAAGAGTTTGAACAGAAAAACTGGAGGCAAGTTGGAGCGTGTGATGTTGTGATTTATGATAAGAAATATATATTTGGTCTTGGTCCCTGTTTCTGGCTCAGAGCTTCTAAAATCCTTGGAATTTCCCAAAAGGAAGAGAGCTAAAAATGTCATTCTTTATGTTAATGAAGTAATTTTGGACCACATCTAAGGATGGGGGCTGGTTGCCAAAACCATCCTCTTCAGTCGCACTCCCCCTGACCTCCACGGAGGGGAGAGGAGCTGAAGATCAAACATCAGTGGCTGATGAGTTGTACCTGTGTAATGAAGCCTCCATAAAACCTAAAGGGATGGAGTTTGGCGAGCTTTCTGGTTCACACCCAGAAAGCATGGAATCTCTTTGCCCTTTCCCCATATCTTGCCATGTGTATCTCTTCCACTGGGCTATTCCTGAATTATATCCTTCTGTAACACACCAGTAATCTAGTAAGTAGAAGTTCCTGTGAATTCTGTGAGTCATTCTAGCAAGTTAATTA